CAGGTCTCTCTTACCTGCAGCCTGTTCTGCTTCACTTGCCAGTGTTTCGTAGAAGTGTCGTTTGTCTTTCCGTGCACTCTTCTTCACTTCTTTGTCCAGTGTTTTATACATTGTGCTCAGTTCCTCCTGTCGTTGAGCATCCTTGCACTGGTTTATCTTCTGCTGCACCATCCTCCTCTCCTCTATCAGCTTCCAGGTATGCGTCGAGATCCATTCCTTGTCTTCTTTCTTCTTCCTTCCTAATACTGTTGTGCAGGTTTCTTTCCACATAGCTTTCAAAGACTTCCAGTGTTCTTCTACACAGGTTTCTTCAGAGATGTCCCTCGATGTCTTCCATTTTGTCTTGATGGCTGCTTTGAAGATCTCCTTTGTAGTTTCATCCTTCAGTTTCCGAGTGTTGTACTTGAATTGAGGTCTATCACCAGCTTCCTTGAAGGCTTTTAACTTGATTTCGAAGGTTCCTTGCACTAGATAGTGAGTGGTGTGAACCTACATCTGCTCCTCTTCTTGACCTTGTGTTAAGTAGACTGCGTCTCCATTTTCTTGAGATTGAGATAAAGTCGATTTGATTTTTAGTGTGTCCTGGTGTCTGGTGAAATCCATGTCGCTTTGTGGATATCTTTGTGCCTGAACACACTGCCTCCAATCACCAAATCGTTGAATGCACAGAATTCTGCAAACAATTCTCCATTCTCATTCATTTCACCTAGTGCCTCTCGACCCATGGTTAGTTCTCTTCCCGTGTTGTCCCCTCCCAGTTTGGCATTCATGTCGCCCATTAGAATTTTGATATCGCCAACTGACGTCTTGTCCAGTGTAGATTGAAGTTGTCTGTAGAATTCCTCCTTCTTCTCTTGCTCTGCATTATTTGTAGGTGCATAACATTGTATGATTGTGAACTTCCTTCCTTTAAGTTGAACCTTGCTGTCATGATCCTGGAGGAGATTGGTTCCCACTACATGAGAGCCTTCGATGGTATTGGGGACATCATGATAGCCACTCCATAACTCAGTGTGCTGGTGGTTGTCGTCTGGGTGACAGGAGCAGATTATCGATTCTCCAGTTAACAGTTTGGAGAGTCCACTCCCATTCCATCTGCTTTCGCAAATCACAAGCACTTCGATGTGATACCTTCTCATCTCCTTTGCAATCTGGGCTGCCTTACTGGGTTCAAACATGGTGCGGACATTCCATGTCCCCACGTTTACTTTCGCTTTCATCGAGAGAGAGAAGACACATTGGCCAATTGGCTTCCCGAAGGCTTTCACCAACCGGCGTCCTTTCGCCTCTCCGAATCCAGTGAGGAATAAGTTTGTCATTATTTTTTATATTTTGTTTGTGCTTTGAAGTTTCTTTAGCGGTTGGATTTGTTTTACGGGGTAGGGTTGCTAGCCCTATGCCCAACCTTCCCTCTTTATCCGGACTTACGACCGGCTAGTAACTAGTGAACTAGTTAACCAGGGGAGGTTGATCACACACTAGTGTATGCTAAATTTATCTTGCATTTCGGTAGTCATCATATGTTTCGTCCTGAAACGGGTCGACGTAGGGAAACTGGTTGCAGCTAAATGTCAAACCCTCCTAGATTCGGTGGTAGCTGTTGGACGTTGAGAAAGTATACACGGGGATCGACTACGCTTATAAAATGTCGTGAAAGTAAAGCAGCGTGTGGTGTTAATTGTTTTGTTATCAAACACTGACTTTACGTGAAATGCTTGCAAATTATTGATAATCGTCAAAGAGTTCCGACAGGGAGCGAGTAAAGTGGTATGTGTATGTGAATATCATACACGACAGATCGAGCAGCGTTCGCTAAAGAACTGTGTGATCTGGTGGTCAGGATAGGTGATATGGAAACAGCAGTTGCGTCTGACAATGATGGGGGACTGTTCCAACTCATCCTAGCCAGCGACATCAAGGAGACGCATGGTATCAGTGAGACACTCTGTGAAGTACATGGTTCGATGATTCACGACGTTTTTAGACGCCAGTTACGTTTAGGTTAGGACTTCCAGTATCATCGATCTGAATGTTGTGTGCTTCGCAGTCACTTAATGCCGATTTACCTAGTGAATGGGAGGTTGTGTAGGAACTCGAAGTTGTAAAGTGAGTGCCATACGGTATCGGACTCAAGCAACCTACACCGCGCCGTTTTCTAACATGGAGTTGAGACTGTATTCAGGGAACTGACTACATTGTTTGTGAAGGTGTTGCGGTGTGCTAAGTGCTGCGTGCCTCTGGAATGAGGCCATTACTGTATGCATCTGTGGAAAGGGGTTTATGTAATGCTTGTGGTAATCATCAAAGTATAGATTTGTTACTTGTAGCGTCTAAAGTGTTGGGTGCTGCCGTGCTTCGTAGACTGTGTGAAGCGTGTATAGGACTGATGTGCGATGAGCAGACAGAGGTTCTTTCAATTCGTGGACATAACGATCATATGTTCACCCCCACTCCCCACCCCCACCTGATGCTCAAACACTGTCAAGCGAATTTCAGGCAAACAATCGTTGTATTTCTCGACGTTAGGACTGCCATTGAGTTGTGTTGTTGAACAGAGTTGTACTCTTGAGTTGTGTGTTTGAGGGGTTGTGGGTGAGAAGTTTGTTGACGTTTTGAGAACTCTATAATTCAACACTGCATGCAGTGAGGGCTTACAGTTATCTGTGTACGTAGTTGCAAACCGATGGAGGTGTTAGATAGGACTATTCAATTTTGTCTTTCTTTTGTGTATATAAAATGTAGCTTTATTACTTTCCAATCCTCTGTTCCAACGGCACTACTGGTTTTGAAATATCCGAATTGCGATTTTGGTCATTCGTGCTGCTTTTTTATGTTTATCTGATGACCAGGGGTTCCGTATTCAACCCCATTCTTCTGCATACCAGTTGCTTGGTTTTATCGAGGTGACATATCCACGTGGGGTTCGTTATTTTTCGGTCTGGATAAGTGCTCCGAACATTATCCAGTAAGAAATACTGTATCATGGTTCTGTATGAAATAAACATATTCAGTGTGGAAGGTTTTCTAAACACCAATTAGTGTATGAAGCTGTATTCAGTGCAAACTGCGAACTTGTGCTCAGTTATTTGCTAACATTTATTGAGAAGATAGTCGGTCCTCTTTGATATGATTTTAATGTTGGTTAAAGTATTTCTATGGCGTCTAGATTTTGCTTAACTGCTGTTATTTAACAACCTCATTGCATCTCCCCTTCTGCACAAACTTCTACGTCTGACTTCCATGCTTCTAACGTGGTAGCATCCTGATCTGTTACGAAGGCAAGTGACCAAACATATGAAGCTCTCTCACGTCCTCCACTTTAAACGGCATTATCTCATAGGAGAGTGAACTGGTGAGGAGTACAGCTAATTCTAGTTATGTTATCGGATACCAAGCCAGTGCAATAAGTGGTATAAGTTGGAGGAAGTGAAGCGAATCTTTTTTTATTCATACGGAGATTTTACGAATCACTACCCACTAGGGTCAGTCCGACTTCCCAGGTAAGTGAAGTGGTCAATAAGCTCATTCCATGTCGTTAAACAAGGCGCCACCAGTCTTGGAGCAACGACTTAGATTTTGGTAGTGAGAAACAGAGCGCAACCATTCTCAAATTGCCCTCAAGGTGTCCATTAGATTCTGCATCTTCGTCTAACAACAGTATATCATTTGCTTACTCTAAGTCTACTGAGTCTTGTGCGATCAGGTCAATTTCTGTCGATTCGGAAGATGAGTGAGACTGTCATAAGTACGTCTATGGTAACGAACAAGAATAGCGAGAGTAGATATCTTTGATGGACACCAATCGACGTACCCAACTCACCATAATCTCATACTCATCCAAGAGTGTTCGAATAGAATCTTCAACAGGATGATATACTTACTCAGAACTTCTTTCAGAGAGACACTGTCATGAGGTCTTTCCGTCGAAAGCTGTCATGTACTCGTAACTGTGCTTGTGTTTTAAAACCCGGAGGAAGTTAGATTTCTGTTCTACACACCTATGACTAGGTTTGGAACTCCCCTGGTTTTCTCAGGTTTGTTGTTTTTGAACTTCACCTAAACTTATGATTACAGAACCTAAAATCTTAGACACTGTTCATCAGGCTGATTCTTCTATGACTGTCACATGAAAATTTCTCTTCTGATTCTCAAACACTTCAGTTAAGGAACGCTTGTCAGAAATTTACGTTCATTTAGATTAGAAAAACCAAATATAATGACTGCTCAAGGTGATGTCATCAATTAACATTCAACTATTTATACGGATGGAACATAGTTAAATCCCTATAGCAAACTATGTACCTATGAATTCTGACTGTAAGCCAGTATATGTAGATAAAGAAAAACTGTGTACTGTAAGTTTGCAAAGACACACTTCAGAATGCGGTCATACTTCAGGATTATTATTTAAGTGATGATGCAACAAATATGTAAGAGTGAACGAAGTATTCTGTATGAAACTCACACTAGGCTTGTCAAACATTACACACATTTGTATACTAATCTAGGTGATATCATCATATTACTAATTGTTGATATACTTGTTTTGCTGGATCTAAGCGTTCGACCACTATTGGCATATGGGCTCCTATTCGGATGCCTCGATATTGTCTGAATATCTATTATGATAATTTACTTGGTTGTGATCAGAAGAGGAATCCAGGATGCGTTTTTCGTCTTATTTGGAACTCGTTAGCTGGATATACCTTCACCCCAATGAGTGAAGTTGTTCCCACTGAGACTCAAACCTCGTACCCATCGCTTCAAACACCAGAGCGTTATCCACTAGTCTCAGTAGGCACATCACTTACTGGAGTACAGGTATATCCAGCTAACGAGACCCAAATTGAACGAACAGTGCGTCCTGGATTACTCTGCTAGCCACAACATAAGTAAATTATCATGATATAATCATATTCTAGAACAACCTTACTCGTCTCACAACCTTTTTCCATCGACAATCCAATTTATCCCATTTTATTTTAAACGGACATCATTTTAGTAAGATGGCTAGTGGGATCAAGTTTTGGAGATGACACACTATTTGTAATAAACCGAATGCTTTCAATAAACGTAAGTGAATGCTTAGTTTGTTTTAGAATGATATGCAGAAGATAATATTAGTCAAAATGTGAATATGAATATCTATACAAAGTTGAACACATGAATTTGTACGAATTCTTTTCAGACATGATATAGTAATGCTGTAGTATACTGAAATTCAATAGTAAACATAATGTCAAATATGAAAAAAACTGAATGAAATTCAATTCAATCATAGGTTGTATGATATAAAGTTATTTAGAAGTAGTATAGTCACAATACGAGACGTTTTATAAAAGAGATCCGACTCGTAAAGATGAATATGATAAGAAAACTGAAATAGTAATGACATTAATAACTACATGACTGATGCAAAGAATGCCCATAGCAAAACAGAAAACACTAAAGAAGAAAAAAAAACTCAATGTTTCAAAAATAGTAGTCTTTTTACTGCTGCTACTAAATTTTCGAATTCCTAATAAGACTGAAAAGATTTTTTTGCATGACAATAAAGAATATCGGACAGTTTAGAAAAGTGGGATCTTTGAAAAGTATGAAGATAAGAGGAGTACATTAACACCTGGTGAATATTATTAGTATTATAGAACAGTACATGATCACAGGAGGGCTATTGCACCTAAAAGAGAAAGTAAACACAGAACTGTTGAGGGGAGGAAAAATTAATCAGGGTGTTATCAGTGTTATTGAGAAAGTAACAAGCAGAAAAGAGAAAATACATTTACATAACTATATACAAGTAAAAATTGTTGGCAATTTATCATAAATTATTTATATCTGAAGTATCAACAGTTGTAACTTCTGATCCTATAAGGTAATGATTCATCTGTTCTGGTTTCTGTGTCATCTGTGCAGGTTGTGGATGACCTTCTGCCTTTACTCTTGTTAAATCAGGTCGAACAGCATTCAAGCATTCCCAGCTGATATCTAGCGATGATCGACGTCCACGCATCCATGCCACATATTCTTCTAATTTATCACTGCCAATAGCAGTTGTTGCATTATCTTGAGGAAATCAATCAAAACAAGGGGTTTATTAAGAGATGAATAGAATGTGTTGGAAAAAAGACACTGGTCATGGATTATATTTAGTACTACCATAAAAAACTAAAACTGTCTATCAAAAGTTTATCAGATTACATCAAAGATATGGCTACTAGAATGTTATCAAGAAAACAATGCAAAATTGACAAAACTTCCATCTAAATTTACACTTGAGAGAGCTTAATGATACACTGTAAAGGCTATAAAAATAATAACAATGGTGATAGTAACGATAAGAAGACATGTTGACAATAATTGATCACCTCAAAAACATAATCATTTTCCTAACCTAAAAAGCCATCTCATATCACATCTCAGCCACCTTGTGCACATTCTTGCAGAAGGCGATGAGCTTTGCCTTTTGTATGAAGGCTAACTATACTACTTGGCTGCTCGAACTTCAGTAGGTGGAGTGGGGTCCGAACAAGTGACCCACTGAGCCACAGGATTCGAGCTAGGGGGTGGTCGCTTCAAACACCAGAGCGTTATCCACTAGGTCATCGAGTCTCAAAATAGTATCAATAACCAGTAAGAATAAAAATTAATTGATATCATGCGCTATTTAGCTGGTCAGAAATTATCGAATACTGGTAGATCAAGGCATAAGTGGAAAGCACAATCCTATAGATGCGCAATGATGATTTCCTTATTATAAAGTAAGATGAAAAGAATCACTATACTTTCAACATTATTCCTTTAATATTTTTTGGTAGGCGATTATAGGTGTTCTGAAGCAAGACATTGCATGTGAATAGAGTGAAAATGTTTAGAGTATCAGTTTGCTGGATAGTTGGAGAAAAAAACCTACTATAATTTGCTGAATAGCTGGAAAGACCCACTATAGAAACGGAGTTACAGTAGAGAAAATCGCAGCATACCAGTGAGAAGTGCACATCAAACTTGGAACCTTTAAAACACCAATTTCTTAAGATGAAAAGTATGACAGGATTCAGCTGGATGCAAACTGTAAACTACATGTATCTCAGCCGATTGCAGAAAATTAACGATTTGAAGTCAAAAAATGTCTTCATTTTCTATTCACATACATGTGTTTACACAGTGGTAAAAACATACCCTCATGTATCTAAATAACCTAACATCATCCAGCCACAGAGATTAGTGTCTGAGTATATTACTAATAAAAGAAGTGCATAGTAAACGAGAAAAAAATGCAGAAAACGGTGCTTACCATGATGAACAGAATTAACATGACGATAAAAATCCCAACGACGAACGAAACCCTTATGACATACATTGCACTCATACGGCTTTTTGTCTGAAATGAAAGAAAAAACCTAACGTTAACATTACCATTTTAAATACTACTAAGTAGCAACAAAAAAGATCATAAATAACACAGAAGTGTTCACTATCAGTGATTACGTACCGAATGGAAAATGAAAATTATGACCTTTTTCAGAGTATAGTTAAAAGGTCTTCCTTTCATAAATACATTAATATCTTACGACTTAGGACACAGGTAATCATATTATCTAGGGCTAGAAGCAGAAAGTTTGCGCTAACCCTCCTCGGAACCTAGGCAATTCGAATGTACCTTATTGCACAATATAGCCTGATTTTTTGATCCGTCTGCCTGATACTTACGAATTTAGTTTTACTGGAAATATTTCGTTCAGTGATCTATTCCTTCGTCCAGTACTCTCAAGTTTTCAATGTTCCTTTAACTGATGTTAGTCTATGATGAACTCCAACCTGAAATCACTTTATAAATCTCCACAAACCTTTAGACTGAAAAGTATAAACTCTTGTAACTGTTTACTCCTATGATAATTCACGTGGTTGTGATCAGAAGAGGAATCCAGGATGCGTTTTTCGTCTTATTTGGAACTCGTTAGCTGGATATACCTTCACCCCAATGAGTGAAGTTGTTCCCACTGAGACTCAAACCTCGTACCCATCGCTTCAAACACCAGAGCGTTATCCACTAGTCTCAGTAGGCACATCACTTACTGGAGTGCAGGTACATCCAGCTGACGAGACGAAACACACATCCTGGATTTCTCTGTTAGACACAACCAACCATATTATCGTAATCAACCTTCATGCTGTATCGGGGCATCCGCATAGGAGCCCATATGCCAATAGAGGTCGAACAATTAGATCCAGTATAATAACGGAGAATTATGAGCACATCAATAAGTAGAAAGTTTACGTCTATATTTTAAAATTTCATTGTTGAGAGGAATACAGGTAAAATTTTATCTCAGCATAACTACGCATATTCTCAGTTAAAAAAAACCTATAAAACGTCGAGTGGCAAATTTCTGAATGAGAATAAACATGAATCATACATCAAATAGATTACTTTTAATCACGTCTTTAATGAATATGCAGACGAGTATACTTCAGAAAATGCAGATCCGTGTAGGAGTATAATTTTTACTTGAGCGAATACTTACGAGTTACATACAAATGCAGCTATTTAGATCTGCATGAGAAGTCTCCCATTTCAACAAATGAAACGGAGAAATCTTTGGATTTTTTGGTTTAAAAATAAATAATCCACGTTTTATTAAAGTTAGATGGCCTTGGAAGATGTAGCTAGTTTCCATTAATCTTGATGGCTGTGAAGTGATTAACCATTAAATATAGGAAAACACAACCGCTTCAGAACTAAATGAATAGTAATAATTATAGTAAGAATACCACAAAAGGACTTGAAAAGTAACGATGAAACACAAGAAATTTATTTTGCAAATCAGACGTTCAGCAAGATACTCAAGAATTACCTGTATGTACTTGTATTATGTGAGCTTGTAGACTTTGACGTCGAGGATACACTTTTGAGCAGGTTGCACACTGATATTCTTTCGATGGTCTTGAAGGTGATGCAGTTGAAGAAGCTATAAAAGAGTGGGAAAGAATTTTCTTTCTATTAAAACGTATGATATGAACGAATAACAAGTTTATGAAAGTTGTACAAATACAGTTTTAAAAACTAATAGACCATATCTGAAAGATGATTTAAAATCTGGTTAATTAGGTAAACACATAAAGCAATTTAAATGGCATTTGTTTGATATCGGTTGATTTTGATATTTTCACAAACAAAATCCAATGAGAACGAATGTAATGCGAATTGATAAGTGAACAAAGCAATACAAAATGATTCGAGTAGGACTAATTGAAAAACAGCAGACAAAGATTCTACCACTTATATTAACTGTATTCTAGACAGTGCTACACACACGAAAACGAAAGGAAAACCTGACATTTAAAACCTTTTTTTATAAAGAAACAAAAGTATCCTAATGCAAAGATTGATTTTATCAACAAATAAAAGTAGGTAAATTTACCAGAAACAGCAATCTGCGTTTGATTTAGAGTGATCGGTTTCACAGGAATATGACTCACGCCGAATGGAGAGGTGATGAATGTGGCCGAGGTTGTAGCACAATTGGGACGAAATAGTGAATTAGTACTTGTTGGAAGAACTGTTGTGTGTGGATTCATAGTAATCGTATTTGCAAAAGGAGTGGCTTGTTGTGGTTGAAAGAAAAATGCTGGCATAGGCATATTTACTCCAGGAGCGACCATCATCACTTGTGTGCCAGAAGGCATTGCATTTTGAACAGAACCAGGTGTTGCAATTATGGTGCCCATAGCTAAGATTGATTAAAGAAATAATAAACAATTCGTTCAGGATAATGGGAATTCAATGCGCTTCACAAAAACATGAGTCACTCAACCCTGTACATCGATTATAGCGAGAAATTGATATAAAAACATTATTGAGACTATGCTAAAGGCGAAAATAAAAATCTAGGCGACAGCATGATTAGAAAAAGCGGCCTCCGGATCCCGTCACCTCAGAACAGTTTAACTGTCGCATGAATAGTAAATAGAGCAGATGAATTAGGCATAAATAATATCGTTTTATTTATACCATTCAGTCAACTAACGTACTGCAAATGAAATTTGTTACTTATTCCAGTCTATCTAATTCTTGGAAACAGGATTAAAACTTATCATTCAAAAGGCTATCGCAAACTGATTCATGTGAAGTTCAAAGTCTTTTGAACATCTTTAGTGACAAAGATAGGATATTTGAGTTGGGGGGAAGGTCCTCGTGTGACAGTCAATTTATATCTAGTAGGCACCAGTATCAACCTCGCCTGGTTAACTAGTTTACTAGTTACTAGCCGGTCCTAAGCCCGGGTAAAGAGGGAAGGTTGGGCATAGGGCTAGCAACCCTACCCCGTAAAACAAATCTAACCGCTAAAGAAACTTCAAAGCACAAACAAAATATAAAAAATGAAAACAAACTTATTCCCCGCTGGAATCGGAGAGGCGAAATGACGCCAGTTGGTGAAAGCCTTCGGGAAGCCAATTGGCCGATGTGTCTTCTCTCGATGAAAGCGAAAGTAAACGTGGGGACATGGAATGTCCGCACGATGTTTGAACCCAGTAAGGCAGCCCAGATTGCAAAGGAGATGAGAAGGTATAACATCGAAGTGCTTGGGATTTGCGAAAGCAGATGGAATGGGAGTGGACTCTCCAAACTGTCAACTGGAGAATCAATAATCTACTCCGGTCACCCAGACGCCAACCACGAGCACACTGAGGGAGTGGCTATCATGATGTCCTCAAGAGCATCGAAGGCTCTCATGCAGTGGGAACCAATCTCCTCCAGGATCATGTCAGCAAGATTCAACTCAAAAGGAAGAAAGGTCACAATCATACAATGTTATGCACCTACAAATAATGCAGAGCAAGAGAAAAAGGAGGAATTCTACAGACAACTTCAATCAACACTGGACAAGACGTCAGTTGGCGATATCAAAATTCTAATGGGCGACATGAATGCCAAACTGGGAGGGGACAACACGGGAAGAGAACTAACCATGGGTCGAGAGGCGCTAGGTGAAATGAATGAGAATGGAGAATTGTTTGCAGAATTCTGTGCATTCAACGATTTGGTGATTGGAGGCAGTGTGTTCAGGCACAAGGATATCCACAAAGCGACATGGATTTCACCAGATGGACACACTAAAAATCAAATCGACTTTATCTCAATCTCAAGAAAATGGAGACGCAGTCTACTTAACACAAGGTCAAGAAGAGGAGCAGATGTAGGTTCAGACCACTATCTAGTGCAAGGAACCTTCGAAATCAAGTTAAAAGCCTTCAAGGAAGCTGGTGATAGACCTCAATTCAAGTACAACACTCGGAAACTGAAGGATGAAACTACAAAGGAGATCTTCAAAGCAGCCATCAAGACAAAATGGGAGACGTCGAGGGACATCCCTGAAGAAACCTGTGTAGAAGAACACTGGAAGTCTTTGAAAGCTATGTGGAAAGAAACCTGCACAACAGTATTAGGAAGGAAGAAGAAAGAAGACAAGGAATGGATCTCGACGGATACCTGGAAGCTGATAGAGGAGAGGAGGATGGTGAAGCAGAAGATAAACCAGTGCAAGGATGCTCAACGACAAGAGGAACTGAGCACAATGTATAAAACACTGGATAAAGAAGTGAAGAAGAGTGCACGCAAAGACAAACGACACTTCTACGAAACACTGGCAAGTGAAGCAGAACAGGCTGCAGGTAAGAGAGACCTGACGACATTGTATCAAATAACCAGGTTGCTATCAGGGAAGAGACCAACACAGATGAAACCAATAAAAGATGAAGAAGGAAATTTAATTACAAAAGAAGAGAAACAGAGGAAACGATGGGCCGACCACTTCAAGAAGCTCTTGAATCGACCACCACCTGCACTTCGTCCAGAAATACCACCTGCAGCCGCTGAATTACAAGTGAACATAAATCCCCCAACGAAAATGGAAGTCCTGAACGCCATAAAGCTACTGAAATGCGGGAAAGCAGCAGGACCAGATGGAATACCGCCAGAAGCACTGAGAACAGATGCAGAGACAACAGCGGACATGCTCACACCACTATTGCAGAAGGTGTGGAGGGAAGAGAAGGTACCTGACGATTGGAAGAAGGGTTACCTTGTCAAACTGCCGAAGAAGGGAGACCTCAGTGCTTGCAAGAACTGGCGAGGAATCACTCTCCTATCCACCCCAAGTAAAATATTAAGCCGCATCATCCTGGAGAGGCTTAAAGACGCACTGGATTCAAAACTGCGACCGGAACAGGCAGGCTTCAGGAAGTACAAATCATGTGCTGACCAAATTGCAACGCTTCGTATCATCATAGAACAGAGCGTAGAATGGCAATCAGCTCTATACCTCAACTTCATCGACTTTGAGAAGGCCTTTGACAGCGTCGACCGAGAAGTAATTTGGAAACTGCTTCAATACTACGGAGTACCGCAAACCTTTATCCGCCTCATTCAACAACTATATGAAGATGCCACATGCCAAGTAATCCACAATGGGAAGCTCAGTGATGCCTTTGAAGTGAAGACAGGAGTGAAACAAGGTTGCCTACTATCCCCCATGATATTCCTAATTGTGGTGGACTGGATCATGCAGCAAACAGTAGGCAGCGAGAAGAGGGGGATACACTGGACGACGGAAAAGAACCTAGAAGACTTGGATTTCGCCGATGACTTATGCCTAATGTCACATAAACTTGAAGATCTGCAGGCAAAAACTAACAAGTTGACAGAGGAGGCAGCTAAGACGGGACTTCAGGTGAATATAGAGAAGACAGAAGTGATGAAGATACCGCACCACCACCATCAACAACAACAACAAACTCCAATCACCGTCAACGGTAGAAACTTGAAGGAAGTAACCTCCTTCACTTATCTAGGAAGCACTGTTTCAACTACAGGCGGGACGGACGAGGACGTCAAAGTCAGAATCGGAAAAGCAAGACAGGCATTCATTAGCCTGAAACCAGTGTGGAGATCTTCTGCACTCAGCATGCGGAACAAGATACGGATTTTCAACACCAACGTCAAGTCAGTGCTCTTGTATGGCTCAGAGACTTGGCGCGTCACGAAAGGCATTTCCAATAAACTACAGACATTCATCAACAACTGCTTACGCTCGCTGCTGAAGATCAGATGGCCAGAAAAAATAAGCAACAAGGAACTCTGGGAACGAACCAACCAAGAACCTATCACGCAACAAATATGCAGGAAGAAGTGGAGATGGATTGGGCATACACTGAGAAGGCCGACTGAGGACATCACGCGTCAGGCCAGATGCTCGAGTGGAATCCCCATGGGAAGCGACGAGTTGGACGTCCGAGGGTGACATGGAGGAGGTCGTGCGAGGAGGAAATGAGAGCTTCTGGGCTGTCGTGGAACCAGGTTCAAAAGATCTCAGAGAACAGAGGTCACTGGAGGCGTGCTACTGAAGCCCTATGTTCCACTAGGAACCCAAGGGACTAATAATAATAATAATAAGGCACCAGTATCAGACTTCACAATAAAGTGTGAGATGCTGAACATTACTGTATTCACTTGGGCAGTTAATAGGTTGCAAACACTGAAATTACCCAATGCATTGAAAATCCATCTGATTTCAACGAATGATTTACTGCACCAGGTTGATTTTTGAGTAACTATTACAGCTAAGTCTGGCCCCTATTCTTACCGTATTCAATGCTTATACTTATCTTGACCCTGTTTGGTAGATCAGTAACTGAATTTTGTCAAAAAAACTAGACTAATTTCTATTCCGAAACAATCACACTATTTGTGATGGAAGACACCTTTGTGTCTGTTGACAGCCAATTTTACTACTCAATAAGGCTACTAATCCTACTGTGTGGGTAAAACATGGCCGGTAAAGATGGAGAACTTGTGAATACTGTTGATCACTGGTCAACGTTGTCCTCGTAGCATTCAGAGAGAAATCCATGAGGTTTCAGCAAATGACGTGTGGCGTCAATGTGATTTTTGGGTGCCTATTAAACAGTTGGTCAGTGTTTTCTTCGTTGCCTGGTATGATTGTGGCAGAATCAGTATGTGATCGATGCAGAGGTTAGATTTATTGTGTCTAGTAAGCGAGAAAAAAACAAACCTTCACTGACTAGTGAGGTAGTTGAGAGAAATGACATACTAAGCTACCACATGTAACAAAGCACGGAGTAAAATGGAGTACAGCTAGGTCGGAAGAAGCTGAGAGTATTCATATCAAGACATATCATCAATTTATGATACTACTCACTGTTAGTCTCGTGTCAAGGAAGTGTATACTCTATGGTTGGGAGTAGTGGATAAGACAAGAGAAACTGATAACTGAAGACGTTAAGTGATATTGTTGATAACTGATCATAATGATGCAGATGCATTTAACCTTAACTTTATCTAAGGAGAATGGTACATATCGTTGCCGCACAAACGAACTCCTTCTTCTGCCTTACAGCTTTTAAACGTGCTAACACTGTCTACACTTTACCATCTTCTTTTGGTGATTTCACGCTTTGGTGTGTCGAATCGGGAAGTGATAATTTGAATCGATACATAGTCATTGTGACAAGTGCTAACAAGCACGAGACCTAGGTCGAGGACTTCATGCCGATTACTTCCAATCAACTAATATCTACCAATGTGCACCGAGATGCTGAGCCTCCTATCTTGATGGCCACATTGCAAATATGATCGATAGGATTCGGTCTACATTCAGGACTAGACATCAAATTAGTTGCTCTTTTGTGACCGACCAACGGATGTAACGCAGTTCTACAGAAGGTCAATCGTGGCCCGAATAGCTCAGTGGTAAATTTGCTGACTACAACACTGGGTAGTGTGGGTTCGAACCTCAGGTGGGACATCAGTTCCGTCGAATTTGCAGATACGCCCTATTAACGAGTACCAACAAGCCGGAAACGTATGTCTAGGGCTTCCTGCTGATTGCCTCCTACCAACATCGTGAGTCATGCATTGTCCACACTTACCTGTCTATCTTTTATGTAAGTGAACACACAGACCTTTTAAAACAGAAAATGAGATGAGTACGGATACGAAAATATTAAGATAAACTGTGAACTACATCTAATAGATGAAAGAAAAATATCACCGGTTGCCTAGACTAAAAAAGAGTTAATGTGCTTAAACCAACAGCCTAGAACAGAAAGAATGCAAAATGAATGAAAAACTAGTGAACTGGACAATCGAATGAAGGCATTACTCACTTAACATTGCAGTACACAAACAGATGGCGGGAAAGCTTTTGAAAATGCATGAAAACTTACATCTAATGTAAGATTACTTACAATTACTGACAACTTACGTAAATTAACTGGTTGAGAATGAGGCTGCGTCTGCAGCACTGTGAGTTGTTGTTGTTGCTGCTGATGATGAATTAGTTGATGTTGTTGCTGTTGTTGTTGTTGTTCCTGTTGATGTTGAAGCATATCTTGCAGCGCCTGTTGCTCTTGTTGTGTTTGTAATGTTTGATGTTGCTGTTGAGTTTGTTGTTGTGTCTGTTGACGTGGGACCATAAAGGATATTGGAAATGGAGTTTCTATAATCATGATCATAACATGAAATAAAAGTGAAAATACATTTTAATGCACTTGACCAAACATTTTTAAAAATCAGCTTATGGTCAGATTAGTGATCGTGCTAGTAAGGAGTTTCAGGTTGAAGTTTACTCCAATAAACTACACTATGTGCGCCTACACAAAACGCGACCAATACTTAAAACTCCATAGGTGACGATACAGTGCCTAGATAACTGAAATAAAATACAAACAATTAACTACAGACTATTCACATACATTTTTACTAGTGTATGTCCACCAGATACTAGACTATGAAAGACTACACTTTGTAGCTGACAGTGTTTCTATTTTGCTGTAAATAATAGTAGAATAGCTTGTGGTGATCACAGAAGTAAACCACATGTGATACTTTTTTGAGCATAAGTAAAAAAAAAACCATACCCATTGTAGATGTCATCGATAATTGGTTATCTATCAAGTAAACACAGGTACCCATTGAAAATCGATATCAACAACGAAGTGAATAATCTTGTGAAACAGCAAGTACACAAGTGAAGAGATTAAAAATACAGATTAGTAATAACCAATTCTCATATGATATGAAACACGGTGGTGGAAAATTCAAATGAAGCCAAATTTACAAACTGTTCAGAACGTCAATTAAAAAGGTATATAACGGAGTAACACTCACTTTTATGCACAGAAGCCACATGACGCTCAAAGTACCATTTTTGTGGAAATCCTTTGTTACATAGCGGACACATGTAAGGTTTTGAATCTATAAGTCAATAAATAGATGTCACTGATATATTAGAAAAATAATCAATCTTAACGACGAATCTTATTTTAAAATGAAACCATAGAGCTGATCACAGAAAATACACAAGATGGAATGATATTTAAAAAAGAACTCTCATCATCGTCTACGAAAACATGGAACAGTGACTTGAACTGACACTTCAGAAAAGGGTGAAACAATGAAAAATTAATTTTGGAAATTACTACTTTCTATATAGCTTTGAGTGGGTTTTTTTAATAATTTAAGGAAAACACTACTTTTCAAAAATGAAAAATAAATTTTCTGGGCGACTTTAAGTGCAACCCTGGCAACTGCCGTAATAGCCAATCAGGTTCCGGTATTTTGGATAAAAATGTAGTTTTTCATAAACTATAAAAGCATAATTGGTTGTCTCAGCAGTTGCTAGAGTGGCCTTTAAAGTTGTTCTTGCATTTTCCACCCACTTTAAGCACCCATGAACTCATTGTTAGTTTTCTTCCGATAAAATAATACAATGTACTAAAAGAATGTCATATAGCACAATTGCGAAGGGTATGCTTTAAATAATTCATTATACATATGTAAATCGATCTATCCAACGATTTATCACCGGTAGACTAAAACTTGCACCTGATACCATCATCTCTTTATGGTTTTACGACGGTGGTTCAAAACAGAAATGAACTGTTTCCTTCATACAGAATAACAATGAAAAGTATTCACCGTTCATTTTTCGGTGTTCTCCATGCAACACTTGTTAATACAGACAGAACCCAGTATGTTGACTGCGGAGATATACATTTTTAATGAGCATAAAAATTTTCACCTACCTACATCCGTGATTTGTGTATGTCAAGACAAATAAAAACAGAATCAATCTTCATATAATATATTACTGGTTGACATGAGTAGTCCTAGGGCACTCGCACCCAATCAGCAGCGCTCGCTAGCTAGATCAAGGTGATCGGTGTCAGTGGCCTAGAACTACTCATTTCAGTTAGTAGCATATTACGTGCGGCTTCATGCTCGCAATCTTGACACCAATTGTAATGTCGAGCAAATCATATTATCTGATCTGAATATTTTAGTTTCTATGAAAAGCTATGGTGAGATTTCGCATAACGGACTGTGAATTTTCGCAAACACTTAATTTGATTCTAGAAACAAACTTGATAAGAAAACTTGAGGTAATTCCTGTTGATGACTGATGTACTTCACACAGAATCGACTTCAGCATTATTTCGTTTTAAGATATGATATCATAACTAAAATCCCAAACACAGCTTCACAGAATAAGGCAGACTAAAAGAATTTAATTGTAGAAAGTTGGTTACAAAATTGACAAAAATTTGCAGTTCACAATAGGGAAGTTGGAAAAATTAATACAAAAATAGGGGCCGCCGTAAAAAAATACTTGACAGTAAAAAAAGAAAGAAATGGAGATATTTAATACCCACATTTTGATGTAGACAAATGTGGATGAACCTGCAGTATTTATTTTTACTTAACGTCTTCAGTTATCGACTTCTTTTGTCGTACTCACCAACCCTAACCACAATGTATCCACTTCCTTAGACACTTGAGACTAACAGTGAGCGGCATAATAAACTGATGACATATCAATGAAGGTTCACTTGTCTAGCCTACTTAACACACAGCCTCTGCATCGATCACATACTGATTCTGCCACAATCATACCAGGCAACGAAGAAAACACTGACCAACTGTCTAATAGGCACCCAAAAATCACATTGACGCCACACGTCATTTGCTGAAACCTCATGGATTTCTCTCTGAATGCTACGAGGACAACGTTGACCAGTGATCAACAGTATTCACAAGTTCTCCATCTTTACCGGCCATGTTTTACCCACACAGTAGGATTAGTAGCCTTATTGAGTAGTAAAATTGGCTGTCAACAGACACAAAGGTGTCTTCCATCACAAATAGTGTGATTGTTTCGGAATAGAAATTAGTCTAGTTTTTTTTGACAAAATTCAGTTACTGATCAACTAAATAGGGTCAAGATAGCTCCTAACATATGCAGTAAAAATAGGAAGATTCAGAAAATATTGTTTCTGTGAAGCTATGAGATTACTAGTCTTAGCATCGAAACAGAAGCCACTGACTATTGAGTTCACATTATACTCCATGATGGTGATCAGAAATCAGAGACATGCAATGATCAAATACAAATGATAATTCCAACGAAAAATAAATAACAATCTCACCTCGATGCACTGAATTCGAGTGTCTTAATAGGTCACACTTCCGAGCGAATTCTTTTAGGCAATCATCACACTGATGCGGTCGAAGACCTAAATGACCACACAAAGAATAAGGCAGTAACTATAGCATGTTGAGAAATTCAGCGCAAAAAATGATCAAAGGAAAAAGCCCACTAAACTGTAAAAAACGTCCCAGTGTTCAGTACTTTACAACTTGGTTCAAATGTTGAACATAAAGATAAAATTCAGTCGTTTCTAAGGACTGAATATATTACAGCTTGGGATACGATGGTTGGTGACATTACTGCTACTAATAGACCTCCCGCCATACAGTCTAGAAACGAAATAACTAAGGAACAGACTGAAGTTCACATTTTTAAGTACCTCCACCACAACATTTAGGTGAGAAATATAAATTGCTGAAATGAAAACTATGGGAATACTTCATGTTTTCGATTAACGATGCTTTACTTATTTGTTTGAGTGAGACTGACTAACTGACTTCAGCACGTTTTACCTTACCAACATGAATGGCTATCGGACATATTTTCATCCTCATTTCGTTCCATAAAAATATTTCCAGTATAATGAGCTGTTGTTTGTACACAAAGCGCTCGACACATGACGTAACATAGTTTGCTTATTATTTGTCTGTATACTTATAGCTTATTGGTAAAGGTACCCAACTTTCATCCACTGCCTGGTAGGTTGAAAATCCATATCACTTATCAAGGTTTAGGAAACCACACACAACACGTCTGGTTCACTGTGCACACGGTGGCTTATTTACATCAGAGATCCTAATACTTTGCCTGTAGTTGGTTATTTTAGGTAGTGAAAGTAATACCTGAAATGTTGCGGCATATTAGATGGTTTCAGAAATTATATCTGGTGAAATCATAAAATTCTAGCATCAACAGCAAGCTTCGCGAGTTTTTAGAATCCTACTAAGGAAATTAAGAGACTAGAACCTTAATGAATATGAAATGTGTAGATTAGTTGACATAAAAGATCCCAAATTAACAACTTTACCACTGCCTTTTATGATGCTATTTTCACATTCCAAATCCAGATTAATTCTCAGATGCCTGAATATCCTCAGTGTTCAAATGATGATCAACTGAAGGCAGAATAAGAAGCTTATTTTAGATAGTCCGAAACACCGAAGAACAGATTGGGCATATTCATATCAGAAATAAACTGGAGTATAATATGCTATAAAAGTTTGCTGGCTGTTAAAATCAGAAAACCTAACTGATTAGTTAAGTTAATAGAGTATTAATTATACACTTTTTAAAACGCATCTCCAATGATGAATAGTAATTTCAAGAAATGAGGTTATGAGAAGTGGCTATCGTGGACATCAACGTTTTTAAGCCATTGGTCGATGAGGCAAAAATCCTAATTGTGGGGTTAGTATTAATGCGACTGGATAATTTCACACTTTGTGGAGGTAATCAAGATAAGTAATATTATCTCCGATCTAGGACATTATATGTATGAAAACTGTACATATATGATGTATCTTTGTCAAATAAAGTCATTCTTGCAGCCATAGGTCAATCTTCGTCTTCTGATACTTCCGTAACTCGTTGGACGGTCGTTATTGTATATTTAGTTCAAGTGTCACATTGAGTTCAGTATCGCTATTACATCAGCGTTTTATTACACTACATCACTTCACAGGGATTGATATATCTGCATCATTCACATCGATTTTGCAGTAAATTCTTAACTTCCTCGACCAGCGATTTCGACTATAGTATGAACACTATTTCTGTAACACGTTTAAGAGATGGGAAGATAATAGTTCATCTCCTATCACAAAAATCACACGGAAAAATAGAGCAAGACAATCATAAATAAATGAATGCTTAGTGAACAAAAAAGACGAAAAATATGATAATGCAGTGATACAAGATGAAACACCAACTAATCTCTGTCTCAGGGAAGTATAAGTTATTCTCGACATGATGTAGGATTTGAAAGTGAGGTTCAAAATGATTAACCGTAATACGACATGAAACTCACCTTTATGTAATGCATTTATATGCATTTGAAGATTTTTCTTCTCCGTAAACTGTTTTTGACATAGGTTGCAATGGAAATCTTTTTTTTCTGTCATAGAAAATAACAAATTGCAGAGATTTTTGACGCATTGAAAAAGTGGTTTGGTTAACTAGCTACTATGAATCATTTTCAAGAAAGTGAATAAGTTTTTAGTGTAAAATACATCGAGAAATTTACTGATTTTTGTCATTAGACAAGACTTTTTGAGTCAGAATTATATGCAACAGAAGTTAGAGCATCCAACTTGATAAAGAAAAACCACGCAATACTGACGAATGATGAAATGCACTCAGCCACCTTGTGCATATCCGTGCAGTAGGCAATGAACCACACCTATTGTGTGAGGGCTACGGATACTAACAGGCTGTCCGAACCTCGATAGGTGGAGCAGGGTTTGAACCCGTAACCCAATGGTTGATAATCATCCCTAAGTTAATGAACCATAGCTCCACATAAAATACAATACTGAGAAAGGAATCATCATTTTAGTTGAAACATGGTGACTAACTTATTTATATGACTCAGTCCTATGACGTAAATAAAGTACGATTAAACACGGTAGTGTAAAATACAGAGTCGAACTTTAAAGAAAACACATAATTCGCATATGTCAGTTTGAAGAGCATAACTAAGGCATGAAATAGTTTACAATGTTTTGTGTCAACTGATTGCAGATCCATCCAAAAAAGAATTCTACACTGAATTGTGAAATTTCCACCTATTGTTGAATGTTACAAGAAAATTTCCATTATACGATACAGGTGTATGAATTCCCAAGAAGTTCAAATAGAAAAAACAGAAATATAATATTAGCACTGATAGAGTAACTTCACTTGACAATTTATACGAAGTTTAATACATTTTAGATGCTCAGTTTCGGCTGAACAATGAACCTTATTGATAGATTGGTGGAGTGGAGATGGGAAGCCTACTCAGTCCAATATGTGCCGATATATTCGTGCCAAACATAGAAGTGAACGCAATGAAATCCGCTATTGATAAGAGTACAATACACACGAAATATGAAGGCGACATAATTTTGATCTGAGGGGATATGAATTACACATCACAACTGTTCAAAACACTGATTAACGGGTATCTAAACATTCCCATTCGATCAATCGCGGCCCGAATAGCTTTATTGGGACGCTTCTGACTACACTACTGAGTCTCCGAGCCGACATGAGTTCCCTTGAGGTTGCAGATACGCTCTGTTGACTAGCGCCAACAACCATTAAACCTAGGTCTCAGGGTTTCTGGTAATAGCCCCTAACCACCTAACACGAGTTAGAACGTTGCTTAACAGAGTTAAAAACCGTTGATCAGAAGATAAAACAGACGATGGGTTAGTTTTCCTTGAGACATATCAATCAGACAAATGTTATTAGAAAAATTTTATCGAGGAGTATTTAAAATCACTTGCTGAAAGAAAGAATTTAGTCATTGCTGACAAAAAAAGTTTTTATTCAGTTGGTGCATAAGGGAGATGTTTCAGAATAGATTAACAGAAGGTCAAGGTCCTCCTCTGACCAGAACTTTTCCTGTCACAAAAACAGGTCCCTCGGTGTATCACTAGCTGGACAATACGTCAGTCAAAAATGAAAGAGAACCAAACGTCATCTACAACTGTAGCTACGGATTCATACCTCCTTTCGAAGGCAAGTACAGTTAACAGAACAGAAAGATGAGCTTCTGTTCGTTTTCCTGAATATTTTTCAAAGAGCGAGATTGAATACTTTATAATCACTGACAAATTCAGACGCAAATCACTTAGTCAACTCAAGATACTGTAGATTTATCCATAGCCTTTAAAATAATAAATTATCGAAATAAAGTCCCATGCTACTCCACTTTGCGAAACCAGCAGAAATTCACGCCTAAAATATGACCCCTACGTTTAAAGAGAGACAGTGTTACCTTGATAACTGGGTTTGTCCCAGCTCATGTTTTCATATCCATCCCTTTTGTTTTTATCTGTTTTGCAAATCTTACGTAATTTAAGATCCATCCATCTGATAAATCTATTATTGTGATTATCTCATGATTTTTATTTCTTATACCATCTGTTGGAACTACAGGGTCTTCCTATCAAATTTTGATAAATAATCAGACTTCATGGCTATCAGTCACACGCCTAACATTCGTGAGTTATTTTTTGCCATCGTATCTATATTTCATACTGTAGCTTGGATTAATTCTGTAACTGCCTTAGGCCCTTTAAGGCTGAGGAGCTGTGAAATAACTAAATGAGTTAAGGTATTTTAAAGAAATTGAATATTTTCATTAGTTATGTGCGTCAGCCTGTACTCAACTCAGGGTCATTTGAAACTAAGTTACTCATTGAAATAACTTCAACTAAACTAACTAGAATGAAACCCAAAGAATTGGTTATGTCAGTGTAAAACCAATTAAGTCAATTTACGAAGGTTATCCGAATTAAATAACAGCAACACTTCCAGGCGACATGCTACATTTACCTACCAGTGGTGAATAAAGCTGTTAAAATAATACATTTACATTCAGTATGTTGAACTTACCTGCATGAACTGATTTCATATGTCTGCGCATAACGGATCGTTTAGAGAAAGCCTTCTGACAAATGGTGCATGTCACATCACGAATATCTATCAGAAGTGAAACAAAAAGTGATCAGACTGATGGTACATGAAGATAATTGAGTGAAAAATTTTAGTACCTTGTGCAACAAATAAATAACATACAAATAAACATAGCAAAGGTTTGTGTTCTCAGTTATGAGCCGCACTCATTATGTGAGGGCCTATGATAGCCGGCCAGTTGTCTAGGTCAAAGTGAATGGAATATGGATCAAGCTCAAAACTCAGGGCTTAAAAGTCAAAGCTTGCACCAATAAGCAACATCTTCAAAATTGAAAGGTGAAAATGAACTATTAGGTTTACCGCTTAACTTAGGAAAAGAATAGCGAATCAAGTAGTAGAATACTAACCACAGATTACTGTGCATGTTTACTCAAGTTGAATGCAGTAACTGGTTCCGATTATAATTCATAACACTGTAAAAGACAGGCGGAGGCAGATGATCACTAAACTTTAGATCCAGCCATCTGAAAAGAATAAAATGTAATCAAAACGAAAAATCTACCACAGTCACCGTTTTATTTATTACCATGTTTGTCGTAATGCATAATTAGTAGATATCTAAATTGTTAAGCGACTTTGCATTATCTCATATGTAGATGATTTATTGATTAACTGTGTTTCATTTCGAGATTGTGCACGATGTAGGCCGAATAACAAAAATGAGGATTCATTTGTCTACGATTTAAAGTCAAATTACGAAAAACTTTTTTGTGGAGTAAACTGGAACTAGTGAGACTATTTTGGGTAAGAACGATAGATTGAGAATGATTCTTTTTACACACCTTTACAAGAAAGTGTGGTTGCATATCCAGTCAGTGGAAAATTATTGCAATAAAATGAAGGGGGATTTTACGTTCATCAATGAACTTTAAGATCGATTACTGTAGTGAACATAAAATACAGTTTTCTTTGAGCTGTTGAATGCGAAATCGATGGATAATACTACTTTGAGAGAGTAGAGATCTGTGTCGGCACGTGTGTCACTGTTTAAATACCTAGAAAGAAAGTAAACAAACTAATGTAATCTAAAATTACATTTTACCAAAGTGCTTTAGTCCTATATTTACATTTATGGAGTCGAATGAAATTTAAGTATGCTACTGATTAACTGAACGACAAAATCAAAGTAGAACCTCGCACACAGGCGCATCGGTTCAACTTGCCACACTTCACAGTAGTACACAACGAACAGGTGGATACAAAAAGACTGACATCAAAGTAGACAAAGTTGAGTGAGAGGATAAACAATCTGGAAATGAGGGTTAGCGCAAATATTCATGCTTTAGAAGACGTCAAAGAGTGAGTACATCTGCGAAATTATGACCAACTTCAAGCCATGTCACCAACAGTCAGTCTTCAACCATTGATTCATTTCGTCTCAAGGACCCCAACTATGCAGTCTATATCTCCCAACACAACTCAGACCAACAGTAAGAAACTTCATTGACTAGCGCCAGGTCTTGGTGTAGCCATCTTGAACCCTTTTCCAACCTAATCCAGCTTCTCCCAGCATGATACGTCAAAGTAAACGGTGGCTCGGCATGTATAGTACATGTCCAGGCTATCTCAGTCGACTTGCCTATCTTGCCTAGTACCCTACCCTACACTTGATTTCAACATTGCTTACACGATGATTCCACCAAATACGAGCAATGCTACGAGGACACCTGTGATCCAAACTCAGTAATCCCTTCATATTTTTTAAACGGCCATGAATGAATGAATCAGAATGAGAACTGGAGTGCAATATACTCGTCCTTTGATAGGCAGTCGGATATCTCGTCAGTCGGCTCCACAGGTGACGCAAGTTGGCAGATGCCAAACGGACCTTCTGTATCCGAGCTGAGATTTTTAAAACTGTAATTTAGAAATGAGGGTTTTTATAATTTAAACATGTACTCACTGTAAATCCGTAATCAGTTTTAATCTACGGTATCGCCATTTACAAGTACACACTAAAATACCACACTAAAGCCCGAATGCATTTGTCTCACCGTAAAATTGAAACAAATGAACTAATTTACACGTCAATGTTAACAAAAGTACCAAAGCAATAATACTAATGCACATAAAACTGTGATATATATGAAATTCATCAAGTAAACCACAATTAATTGATATATTTGTTCTGTACATTGATTGGTCACTGGAGAATATAAACAATTTCATGTTGTATGTTTTTAAGTGCTGAACCTAGGTTTAAGGCTTCCTGACGATTGCGTCCATCTAACTACTATATTTTTCCTGCATAGATCACTAGTTGTTGGTATTCAAAGTGACTATTTCCCGAATACATCTCTCCAACAAGGAACACCTACTATAAGGGGAACATTACATTGCACATCTACATATACACAAGAGAAGACACCATCCACCAGTAAAACAAAGAAAATGAAACTATTAACATAAACCACCAGAGTTAGTAAACACTTAAACGACTTTAAGAAACTAAGGATCATCCAGCTATCGCTCTGAACAGAACACATTTTCTATATTAAACCCACTTTTTATCAGTTTACTGAACGCTTACTGCCACACATTTACAAACATCTTTAGAATAAGTCTTCAGGGGTGTTAGAATAAATCTGACAAGTATATTTTTATGAGATTCTCATGCGGTGAAACAGATAGATATACATCCTGGAATCTTGACTTCAAAGTAAACCGGTTAGAGTTTGCAAACTTTGCAAGAGATTGTATATTCACATTAGCAATATTTTCCTAACATTCAACCTAGTTTCATTCGAATGATAAGAGTTTTGGAGGCGCTAAATCTGAGCCACCTATTTTTACCCATTCACATATCTTCAGTTTATCCACAGAAATCAATAAAAAGGGGGAACTAACAGTTAGTTTAAAAACTGAATCTATAAAAATGTTTTCACAGTAGTTTTCCCATTTTCAAATATAAGAGTAAAACATGATGGATCTTAAAAATGAAAAAGCAGGAAGGAAGGACCAGGTCAAACGGTAAACACCTTGTTCTTAATAATCCAATCCTAACCAAATGATTGCACAGCTGTGATAAGCAATACTTATTATGTTTGTAATCATTGACAAATGCATACTGTTAAGACTCAATGTCTTTTTTTAAATCAGTAGGAAAATACATGATTCTGTCAGATCCACTCAAAAGGCAACATTCTCTACGAGTTCAGCGTTTGTCATAGTGAATATTTAGCAACGAATGAAAAATACAAATCAACTTAGTTTTTGACACCACAAAATTACAACAATAGTACAATTGAAAGAAAATCAAATAATATACGACCGCTACAATTACTTGAGGCTATGTAAGGTAACCACTCCTCATTGGCTAGCTAATATAGTGAATACATCAATAATGATGAAAATCTGTACGGGAAGTGCCGTCGACCTACCACTTGCCGATTATGCAATAAACTACACTAGAAAGATAAAGTATTTTAATACTATATGAGCTCAAAGTCTTAAACATTTGGTTATATGGACACTTATAGACTGGTTGTCTAACAGTTACTGTTTGAGTAATGAGGTACTGTTAGAAGGGGAGAATCAATCAAGAAATACGGTTTTAAACTTGGTAAGGTAATTCAGTACATGCTTAAGAAGTATTGATCACACTTGCTGAAAATACAGCAAATGAAATTTACTCATTGCAAATGAGAAGTTGGTGAAACACTTAGTATCAAGACGACACATTTTTGTTTACTATGAAAAGATTCTGAAATCTTAGTAGGAGGAAATAAGAAAAGCCTAGAAAACAGATAAGTTATTACAAGAATGAGAACAGAGATATCACCTAAATGCGAGAAAATAATCAACTCACTTTCATGAACACTTTTCACATGAGCTTTCAGAAGGAAACCTTTAGTATAAGTTTTGCCGCAAAAGTTACACTGAAAACGACGTAAACCTGAAATGTACGGTATATATACAATAAGAAGTTTATTTTAGAATAGATTTGCTTCAGGTGAATTGATTTATGAAGAATACTAAGTTTGATGATTTCATGAAAATGGAAGGAGTTAACGAGTAAACTACCGTATTTCACTAATTAAGTTTTGACTTCACAAAAGAAAGATGCTTCCTTCCTATTCGATATAGCCTATGGTTTTTGTTAAATAATCTAACTGTATTTCAACAACTATGTGCACTAGACAATGAGCCACACTTATTAAATTAGGACCAATGATACTCTATGGCTGTTCAAACCTTGGTGGGAAGTGCAAGATTCCAACCCGTTACCCACCGGTTAAGAGCTATCTAGACCAACAGATCAAAACTACACTAATATGGACAAGTAGCTTGTCGGCTAACGCACTCCATTTTCTGTTGGTGGGTCCCAGATTCAATATCACTTACATCGATCTGCACCAACACGTAGTATCAGAAGTCCTGACACAAGTGTGGTTCATAATGTAAAGTGGATAAAGTACACTTTTTTGAAATGCCAACTTATGGTTGTAAGTCTATAGTCTCAGTCAAGAAAGTTTTATTTACCGTCTGTACGTAGCAGATGGTTCATAACACAAATTTAAAAGGGCATGAGGGAATATTCAGTGTCTATCAATGAACCGCTGGGTATGACGGCTCTTGTGGTGAAGTGGAAAAATCTTGATCCAAAACAATTGAAACACATGGACCTCAGAACCGAGAACAACGAGTGGAGTATGAGACTACTACGGTTAATACCGAACGTAGGAATACAGCTCTTGACCTTCATCCACTGTCCTAGGGAACAAACTAAATTAAAGGTTTGACCAGTTCTTCAAGACAATCATCGGCTTCTGTCTTAGCATTTAGATAGTATTCCAACCCTTATAAAGACTACTATATAGCAAAGTAATTATCATTACCTTAGAATTCAATAATTTTAGTCCCACTTCTGTGGAAAAAGGTGCAATTCTCTTAGTTCTGGAGACAAAAATAAAGCACTGTGTTTCACATCAGTTGCTTGGAATTCTCATCTACTAGTACCATTACACAGAAATAGCTCTACGACAGAATGGTAGCGTCAGTCTTATAACATGTCATTAATTTCAATGTCCTGAAGATAAAATGCAGTCTGTACACACTAGACTGTAAATCAATTGGATTAAATTCATATCAAATAAGTCTACGGTATTCAGTACAAAATTTCACCGTTTCAAAATAATCCTAAAGTGAATCGTACCAGATGGAAACCATATCTTATGCTGCAACCTAGTTAACAGAGACCAGATATGACTTAAAATTGGTGTAGTGAAATCAACTGACAATTAGTGGAACTAAAGTACATATATGCAGGCATCTATAGAAGACGAAATTAATCTTAACTAACTCAAAAATAAATACCAAGATTAGTGCTATGATAACAATGGTCTAAAAAAGGTAGGTTAAACTGAGATTCACATTGAGAGTAAAAACTCCAGGTAGAATAAAATGTATATACAATGTTAGTAGAGTGTTAAGTGTCACTAGCAAGAAAGACAGCGAAAGAAAGAGTACTATACACACTGACTTTAGTATACTGAGCCTGACTCTCCGAACACAACAGCTTTTGTTACTACTGTAGGACTGGGATACAAGGCTGTTAATTAGAAATGATAGGTATACTAATAATGGCTATATTATTATTATTAGTCCCTTGGGTTCCTAGTGGAACATAGGGCTTCAGTAGCACGCCTCCAGTGACCTCTGTTCTCTGAGATCTTTTGAACCTGGTTCCACGACAGCCCAGAAGCTCTCATTTCCTCCTCGCACGACCTCCTCCATGTCACCCTCGGACGTCCAACTCGTCGCTTCCCATGGGGATTCCACTCGAGGGCCTGACGCGTGATGTCCTCAGTCGGCCTTCTCAGTGCATGCCCAATCCATCTCCACTTCTTCCTGCATATTTGTTGCGTGATAGGTTCTTGGTTGGTTCGTTCCCAGAGTTCCTTGTTGCTTATTTTTTCTGGCCATCTGATCTTCAGCAGCGAGCGTAAGCAGTTGTTGATGAATGTCTGTAGTTTATTGGAAATACCTTTCGTGACGCGCCAAGTCTCTGAGCCATACAAGAGCACTGACTTGACGTTGGTGTTGAAAATCCGTATCTTGTTCCGCATGCTGAGTGCAGAAGATCTCCACACTGGTTTCAGGCTAATGAATGCCTGTCTTGCTTTTCCGATTCTGACTTTGACGTCCTCGTCCGTCCCGCCTGTAGTTGAAACAGTGCTTCCTAGATAAGTGAAGGAGGTTACTTCCTTCAAGTTTCTCCCGTTGACGGTGATTGGAGTTTGTTGTTGTTGTTGTTGATGTGGTGGTGGTGCGGTATCTTCATCACTTCTGTCTTCTCTATATTCACCTGAAGTCCCGTCTTAGCTGCCTCCTCTGTCAACTTGTTAGTTTTTGCCTGCAGATCTTCAAGTTTATGTGACATTAGGCATAAGTCATCGGCGAAATCCAAGTCTTCTAGGTTCTTTTCCGTCGTCCAGTGTATCCCCCTCTTCTCGCTGCCTACTGTTTGCTGCATGATCCAGTCCACCACAATCAAGAATATCATGGGGGATAGTAGGCAACCTTGTTTCACTCCTGTCTTCACTTCAAAGGCATCACTGAGCTTCCCATTGTGGATTACTTGGCATGTGGCATCTTCATATAGTTGTTGAATGAGGCGGATAAAGGTTTGCGGTACTCCGTAGTATTGAAGCAGTTTCCAAATTACTTCTCGGTCGACGCTGTCAAAGGCCTTCTCAAAGTCGATGAAGTTGAGGTATAGAGCTGATTGCCATTCTACGCTCTGTTCTATGATGATACGAAGCGTTGCAATTTGGTCAGCACATGATTTGTACTTCCTGAAGCCTGCCTGTTCCGGTCGCAGTTTTGAATCCAGTGCGTCTTTAAGCCTCTCCAGGATGATGCGGCTTAATATTTTACTTGGGGTGGATAGGAGAGTGATTCCTCGCCAGTTCTTGCAAGCACTGAGGTCTCCCTTCTTCGGCAGTTTGACAAGGTAACCCTTCTTCCAATCGTCAGGTACCTTCTCTTCCCTCCACACCTTCTGCAATAGTGGTGTGAGCATGTCCGCTGTTGTCTCTGCATCTGTTCTCAGTGCTTCTGGCGGTATTCCATCTGGTCCTGCTGCTTTCCCGCATTTCAGTAGCTTTATGGCGTTCAGGACTTCCATTTTCGTTGGGGGATTAATGTTCACTTGTAATTCAGCGGCTGCAGGTGGTATTTCTGGACGAAGTGCAGGTGGTGGTCGATTCAAGAGCTTCTTGAAGTGGTCGGCCCATCGTTTCCTCTGTTTCTCTTCTTTTGTAATTAAATTTCCTTCTTCATCTTTTATTGGTTTCATCTGTGTTGGTCTCTTCCCTGATAGCAACCTGGTTATTTGATACAATGTCGTCAGGTCTCTCTTACCTGCAGCCTGTTCTGCTTCACTTGCCAGTGTTTCGTAGAAGTGTCGTTTGTCTTTGCGTGCACTCTTCTTCACTTCTTTGTCCAGTGTTTTATACATTGTGCTCAGTTCCTCTTGTCGTTGAGCATCCTTGCACTGGTTTATCTTCTGCTTCACCATCCTCCTCTCCTCTATCAGCTTCCAGGTATCCGTCGAGATCCATTCCTTGTCTTCTTTCTTCTTCCTTCCTAATACTGTTGTGCAGGTTTCTTTCCACATAGCTTTCAAAGACTTCCAGTGTTCTTCTACACAGGTTTCTTCAGGGATGTTCCTCGATGTCTCCCATTTTGTCTTGATGGCTGCCTTGAAGATCTCCTTTGTAGTTTCATCCTTCAGTTTCCGAGTGTTGTACTTGAATTGAGGTCTATCACCAGCTTCCTTGAAGGCTTTTAACTTGATTTCGAAGGTTCCTTGCACTAGATAGTGAGTGGTCTGAACCTACATCTGCTCCTCTTCTTGACCTTGTGTTAAGTAGACTGCGTCTCCATTTTCTTGAGATTGAGATAAAGTCGATTTGATTTTTAGTGTGTCCATCTGGTGAAATCCATGTCGCTTTGTGGATATCTTTGTGCCTGAACACACTGCCTCCAATCACCAAATCGTTGAATGCGCAGAATTCTGCAAACAATTCTCCATTCTCATTCATTTCACCTAGTGCCTCTCGACCCATGGTTAGTTCTCTTCCCGTGTTGTCCCCTCCCAGTTTGGCATTCATGTCGCCCATTAGAATTTTGATATCGCCAACTGACGTCTTGTCCAGTGTTGATTGAAGTTGTCTGTAGAATTCCTCCTTTTTCTCTTGCTCTGCATTATTTGTAGGTGCATAACATTGTATGATTGTGACCTTTCTTCCTTTTGAGTTGAATCTTGCTGTCATGATCCTGGAGGAGATTGGTTCCCACTGCATGAGAGCCTTCGATGCTCTTGAGGACATCATGATAGCCACTCCCTCAGTGTGCTCGTGGTTGGCGTCTGGGTGACCGGAGTAGATTATTGATTCTCCAGTTGACAGTTTGGAGAGTCCACTCCCATTCCATCTGCTTTCGCAAATCCCAAGCACTTCGATGTTATACCTTCTCATCTCCCTTGCAATCTGGGCTGCCTTACTGGGTTCAAACATCGTGCGGACATTCCATGTCCCCACGTTTACTTTCGCTTTCATCGAGAGAAGACACATCGGCCAATTGGCTTCCCGAAGGCTTTCACCAACTGGCGTCATTTCGCCTCTCCGATTCCAGCGGGGAATAAGTTTGTTTTCATTTTTTATATTTTGTTTGTGCTTTGAAGTTTCTTTAGCGGTTAGATAATGGCTACAACACTGTAATATGAAAGTAATTTCCTTCCCAACCCAAAGTATCAATCTAAAACGAATCTTACTAGACGATCACTACTTTGAGTAACAGGGAGAGTGATGTACTGCATATCTTATTTGAAGGTAGTCATGATAAGTCACTTAGTTTTTTAGTTGCTTCACATAAGATGCAGATTATATC